CAGATGAACCCCATATGAAGCAGAACCCAACGAGAAGGAGACCAGTACGGAAGAAGATATGTCCCGTAAAATTAAGAGAGTTTTGTGTTTGTAATTCTGTACATTTTAATTAAGTTATTGTTAATTGTTATTGGTTTAATGTAAGTGGCTATTGTTTGGGATGAACAATACTAAGGAGGGGGCAGTGTTGTGTCAGCGAGGTCACGTGACTAGTATCACGCCACTTCTTTCTCGAACCTTCGTGAATTGTCAGGAGGTTACTAGATTGGGGTAGTCTGGTATATGTAAGATGGTCACAACGTGACAGGACAATGTGTAGGTAATGAGTACTTGAACTGCAGTCAGAGAGTGTGTAAATGAGTATTGTCGAGCACGAGCATGTGAGACGTTCTAGCATTTGTTATAGAGCGACTGTTGAAATTAAGTGTGTCGGTAAAGTTGTATTCGGAAAGAATAAACCAGTTTTATTTAAGAAAGGACTTGTGTCGCTAAAGGTTTGTTGGAATGAATTTACGGAAAATTAACTAACGACTGGATGCGTAACAGTATCATCGAACCAGTGTGTATTCGAAAAATTCACATTTTAAGGTAAATACACGTACTGTACAGTATTGACATTAAACTGTAAAAAATAACAAAATAGAAATATTTAAAATCAACATAGCTTATAATAGTAGGTATTGGTTTAAGTTGATTTTTAATAGTTAATATGTGAAATTTTCTCATTTGATCTAGTTTAACAAAGTTTGGAATCAATAGTCTTCAAGACATCTGTAAAGAAAAGCATCTTTCTGACATACAATTATCCAAGACCCTAGGGGTATCTGACTGGGGGCTGTTGCAGGCAGCAGTATCAAGTCTACCTTCTTCCAATAATGACCTGACCAAAGTGACTGAAACAACGTGGAATTCAGTTATCATTGAAGAAAAAACACCATGGGGCTTTGGTAAAAAAACTTGTTATATTTTGTATAATATTCGGTTGCTACTAAGCCTCTGTTATTTCTGTAAGTAAGAGTATAAAGATGGTTACAGAATAAATTTTAGACATTCTATTGTTTTACATTTTGTATACTGTACATTCTGTTAAATCATTCACTGCATCATTAAGATAGGTTAAATATCATCAAGAAGTAACTTACTTTTGGAAGTTTTAATTTTTTTCTATTACATCTATATTATATTTAGCTAAGTTGGCCATCACTATTGTTAGACAGATAAACAGTAGTATAAATGTAGTTAAGAACTTTGTTTTTAAAAGCTGTTATTATTTTGTGTTGCATCTATATTTAGCTTCATTGGCCATTGCTATTGTTATACTGATAAACAGTAGTACAAATATGATTATGAACTTAATTGTAAAAGGGTGTTTTAACTTTTTATGTTATTGTAATTTCTATCTGAAGATGTTCAAACTTGTGGTATTGTATTTCATTGAGGTCATTTGTATATGAGCCTAGTTTCATTACAAGACTGATGATTTTGTTGTCTAGTTTCATTACTTAGTGACTGATTGTTGATTTTGTTGCTAAGTTTCATTACAAGACTGATGATTTTGTTGTCTAGTTTCATTACTTAGTGACTGATTGTTGATTTTGTTGCTAAGTTTCATTACAAGACTGATGATTTTGTTGTCTAGTTTCATTACTTAGTGACTGATTGTTGATTTTGTTGCTAAGTTTCATTACAAGACTGATGATTTTGTTGTCTAGTTTCATTACTTAGAGACTGATTGTTGATTTTGCTGCCAAGTTTCATTACTTAGTGACTGATTGTTAATTTTGTTGCTGAGTTTTATTACTTAGTGATTGATTGTTGATTTTGTTTCCTAGTTTCATTACATAGTGACTGATTGTTAATTTTATTGCTGAGTTTTATTACTTAGTGACTGATTGTTGATTTTGTTGCCAAGTTTTATTACTTAGTGACTGATTGTTGATTTTGTTGCCAAAAACAATCAGTCACTAAGTAATGAAACAGGCAACAAAATCAAACTCAGCAACAAAATTAACAATCAGTCACTAAGTAATGAAACTTAAACAAAATCAACAATCAGTCACTAAGTAATTAGGAAACAAAATTAACAATCAGTCACTAAGTAATGAAACTAGGAACAATCAGTCACTAAGTAATGAAACGATTTTGTTGCTAAGTTTCATTACAAGACTGATGATTTTGTTGTCTAGTTTCATTACTTAGAGACTGATTGTTGATTTTGCTGCCAAGTTTCATTACTTAGTGACTGATTGTTGATTTTGTTGCCTAGTTCATTACTTAGTGACTGACTGTTGATTTTGTTGCCAAGTTTTATTACTTAGTGACTGACTGTTGATTTTGTTGTCTAGTTTCATTACTTAGTGACTGATTGTTGATTTTGTTGCCTAGTTTCATTACTTAGTGACTGACTCTTGATCTTGTTTGGTAGTCCGTAGAGATTCAGTTTTCTTAAATGTATCTGTTTATTCATATTTTTCTGTCGCTTTGTTGTTGTTCATACATGAAAGCTTTTCATTTAATATATTTTTACTAATTTGCAATTGGTAGACTTTGTGACAGACAGTTATCCAAACCTTGCATGGTTGCTCCTTATGTACCTGGTTTCATTAGTTTTAGAACCAAGTTAACTAAAAGTTAAAACTGCAATATATTTTCGTATTACTTGTTTGTTTTAATAATTATCTTCCTGTGAATGATATAAACTGTGAATCATGTTTATTGATTTGTAACGTGATTTCAAGTGTAACGTCTAGGGTGAAGCACTATCTCTGTGTTATTTTAGGGTTTTGTATTTTAAATAACTTTTGATGTGATGCTAAGTTTGGTAAAAAAAAATATTCCTAAAACCTAAACAAAAATATATATATATTCAACTTCACACAGCAATTCTGTTTTCATGTTCAGATCTCTATTTGTTAAAGAATTCTTCTGAAATAATTGAAGTATTTTTTTTTTTACAACTTGTATATATTTATTTTTATTTTCTTCTAACAGGTGCAATATTTTTTGTCTCTCTCTTTGTGACTGCTCTTACTCTGGTGGGCATGGCAACAACCATGTCCCAAACATTCCTTTTCTTTGATCATTCCACGACTAGAAAGTTGGGCTGCCTGGCTTATGTTACTGGCAAATATCTTGCTCCACAGAACTGTAAAGTTGAATTCTTGTGGTCAGATCCTGAGGTTGTAGGGAGTACTTTAACCTTCACTATCAAGGTAATATTTCACTTACAAACATTAGTTGTTTTTTTTAATAATATTCAAAGGGGGCAACTGCCCAGGGGCCCGGGCAAATGAAACGTGGTTATGCTGTAAAGCCCGCAAAGCATTTTTAGGCTATATCTTCATTTAATGATAAAAACCATAGTTTTGGCTTTTCTTTGCATATAGACGCTTGATACACTAAGAACAACTGAAATAATAATTTGAGTAATAATTAATAAGTATTTGTTAGATTATAGATTTAATAGATATTTGTTGTTACTTTATTAACGTTTTTACGCTTATACTGTGAGGTAAAAACGGCTGCTGCTATTATGATTTTGTCTGGTTTATGAGCTCGTTGCTGCCCCAATTTAGGATCTTCTTTTTAATAAATTA